TTGATTGCTCTTAGTTTGATCAACTGAAGCCACATCCACATGTAATTTCCCACTCTCTGAATGTCCCATGCTCATCACGTTTCTCCTTTCGTCCTGAGGGCCAGTCTTCAGCCTAATATTCAAGCGCTGTCATGAGTTTCGAATCTAACTCCGAAACAAGGTCAGTTCAAATTTCAGCTGAAAATTGGGTTCAAACCCGAGTTGTATCCATTTTCAGATTCTGTAGCCTAATTCCTGTCTAATTCAGGAATGCTGATTTTGCTAATAGCGTTTACGTTCACGATTTATGAATGAGTAAAGCGAATGAATATTGCAGAGCATTGTATCGATAAATTTGATTCACACTATACGGATTCATGTGGGGTTGGAGCATGGGCAGAGAAGTGGTATTTCGATCATCTGACTGGGTTATGTCATCCGTTCTGGTACGATGGCTGCTTATCGACATCGCAGAATATTTTCAACGATCGTGAAACGTGCCAATGGCTCTGTGAAATGCCTTGTTCGTTTGACATTCTCTTTGGAATGCTAATGTTAATGTCAAAAATCACCTATAGTCATAGTGGTGTATTTATATTAACTGATATGTTTGAACAGATTGATTTACTCTTCCTCTCAAGACTCGATATCAACTAAACTTTGCCTACGAAATCATTTGATACTTCATTACAGCCTTTTAAGTATGATCAAGGACAGTATTATAGAACTTTTATCCATAGAAGGATTCCTGACTGATCATAAATGCCTTTCAGCGCTACCGAGCAGTACGGATGTCACTTCGAAAGATGCCTACCGATGTCTCGAGGAGAAATCGCCTGGAATGTGCAAAGAAAAGTTGGTGAAAATGAGAATATTCAGAATAAATTCGATAATTGAAACTAGAAACCTCTCTACTGCTTCTAATGAGCACAGCTTTCTTGTGAAGACTGTTTTGGCTACAGATTCATACCGGAATGTAGCCTTGCCAAGCAGATGAAGTCAGTAGCTCTCTCCTGGAGACTGATTTTAGCCTAAGTGGCTGAATTTTATCCCGGTACGCTCTGTGTACTCAATCAGTTCTTAAGTATTTATTTGACGCCATCATTACCGGTGTTGCTAATCAGTGGTTAAGATCTTATCATTATGACAGAACGGGACTGATAAGAATTGATAATGATAAAAAACAATGATAGACAATATGGATATGTGATGAAATAAGTTTTTCAGGTATCCAGCGTATTTCTATAACAAGGAAACGCGTCGTTGTGAGCCATTTGCTTACAGCGGATGTGCAGGCAACGGAAATCGTTTTCTCACTTTACAACAATGTGAGAGCATATGTAATCAATTCCGAAAGCTTTCAGGTACCTTGAAATTATATTTTAGTGATTAAAATGTTATCTTCGTCCCAAATTTCCTCATGATATCGGTTAATGCAGTTACTTCACTATTAGGTTTCACTGATAATGAAGAGAAGAGTGAATTCAGTGTTGTTTTGATGTATCAGTGGACAATGCAGCTGAGCACTCTTGCAATAGAGAACGCACGAAGAGAATGAAAATGTTTATCAAATGCAATCAAAAAACATTGAGAAAAACAACAGAGATGCAATCAAAGAATGAGATTCATGCTCTAACACATGCGAAAAGAATGAAACAGGGCAGAGTGGTACTGAAAAGAATGAAACTTCATGCTAGAATCATTGGTATGCTGACATATCGATAAAATTGAAGATTTTCATGATCAGGGTGTCCAGGACACTGATATCAACGTATTTCAAACTGAGAACTCATTGATTTCAATTGATGTACGATCTTAAGCTCATAATGATGCATTTTCAAGTAGCATTTACTTGTAAATGCCCGGAAATACCCACATTTTCCATTCAAATGCTACTATTCATCGTGAAAAATCTGATTCCGATTTCGACAACCAAGATCTAAGGAAGAATGTTTTAAAATATGGATGAATAGAATTTTTTCAGCAATCGAAACTGATTGTTATCTGCCGTTATCGGTAGGGAGTGGACGTGGT